GGAGGGGGAGGGGGAGGGGGAGGGGAAGGAGGAGGAGGAGGAGGAGGAGGACACGAGGGCACCCTCCGTTGTGCAGGGTCGAGCTTCTGGTCGTACCCGACTGCGGGCCCCCGCCCCTCGCCTCGGCCTGCCCGGGCCCCCGCCCACGCCTCCCTCCCGCACGCGGCCGCTGCAGACGCCGCAGGGTGGAGGGCCTTCTGGCTCTCGAACGCCCCCCTCGAGATGCTCGAGAGGGGTATTCCCAGCCGCGTGGCCACCAGCTTGTGCAGCTCGGCGGTGTCCGCGTCGAACTGCCAGGGGGGGAGGGGGGTTGGAAGGCTTTTTGGGGAAGGTTCCAGGGATCCTGGACTCTTCGCGAGGAGGTGTTTTGGAACGTTTTCTTCTGAAGGTTCCAAGGATCTTGGATTCTTCTTTGCGAAGGCTTTTGGAAGGTTTTTGGGCCTTATATGGATTCTGATTGAAATTCTTTGGTGCGGGCGGCGCAGGAAGGCGAGGGAACCAGAGATGGCCCCCTTCGCCTGGGGGGGGAACGCGAGGAGGAGGAGGAGGAGGAGGAGTCATGGGTGGGGGGGGAGGCGGGGCGGGGGGGGGAGACATCGGCCTGGAGTCGGCGATACACTGCCAATAGATCGGCGACAGGCTCCCGATTGCCTAGCCGCACGCTCCTGGGAAGGGTGGGCCCTCGAGCCTCTGTCGGCGATGGTTGGGCGATAGGGCGGTCGATGCATCCTCCCTGAGCCTACGCATCCCCACCTAACGTTGCCCCTGATCTCCCCCCCCCACAAACCGACGCGCGTGATCCCGGCGTCTGCCTGCATACCGGGCATCCTCGCCCTCGTCATCGTCCCCGTGGCTAATCCTGAGCCCTCGTCCCCTCCCCCGCCTGCCCCGACTTCCCTGAGAACTGGGCGCTGTTGTCTGTTCACAACTGGCATTCTCGCACGGCGTCGGCCCCCAGGACCATCACAGGTCGATCCAGCTCGAAAGATGCCGCAGAAAGATGGGGTTCAAGGCTCCAGTCGTGTTTTTGCCCAGATGTTGCAGTTTGTTCGCGTCATCGGATCTCAAGGTTTTGGGGGCAGGCATCGGCTACACGTAAGAAAGACCCCAAACAAGAGAGGCCTCTGGTGCGCAGCTCTAGAGGGCCACAGGGTGAGGGGGTTACGGTAATTGAAGTGCGCCCGATCGGCACAGTGGCCGCGTCCTACTCCGGGCTACGGGACAAAGAAAAGTATGGAAAACATCTCGCAAACGTGAAGCAGTAGCGAGCAAGCAGTCCTACAACCGAGACTTCTACGGGGGGGAGCAAGTCTAGGTGCAAATAAGTTCATGTACTTATTTGGGCGTCTGGAGACCCTTTTGGAAGTCTTCTGGAGGCCTCCTCGGAGCGTCTGAGGGGCGTGTAGCAGTCTTGCGGCATTCTTGGGCTGCTTCTGGGCGTCTCGGACGCACCCGGACGGCCTGGGAAAGCGTGTGGGCCGACCAGAGACCGTCTAGGACTGCCTTGGGACTCGCTTGGAGCCGCATGGGGCCATCCTGTGTCAGTCCAAGGGCCTAAAACACAACCCCCAAGAACCCGCAAACGGGCCCCCGACCTCTGGGGGCAGATGTGATTACCGTCGGGGAGGAGGGTGCCGCCCCTTGGCTGGGAACCCCGACGCCCGTTTAAATACGCATGCGCCCAAGAGTAAACTCCATGCCAGGAAGCCTCTCCCCACGCTAGGGGAGCCCACTGCTTACCAGATTGTCCCGAACACACACACACACACACACACACACACACACACACACACACACACACTTATCTGCTTTGAGGCTGGGGTACAGTTCGCGTCACCACAGGCCACGACTGATCACGACTGGCCACCATGGTTGACCCAACGCAGCCATTGAGCGGTACGACAGGGCCACAGACGGTGACGATGTGCGTCTCCGTTCCACATGATACGCGCCCCCACGCGTTGAGAGCAGGGCACGGCGGGTAACCCTATGCCACGCTGTCCCGCACAACATATGATGTCCCTGTGCAGTGTGACCGGGCCACACCGAGCTGCAACAGGTCAAGTCGTCCCAGAAGGCCAGAGTTTTGTCAAGACCATGAAATCACAACCGCGGCGGCGACAGCCGAATCCTCTCGTGCTGGCAGCCTGACTAGTGTCTGGAATGGGGGCAGAGACCCAGGCACGCCTGAAGGGCGACGGGGACGAACCAGCGCAGCGCACCCAAGAATCTCAATCCCTGTCCTACTTCTCCTGCTTCTCCTGCTCCACCTCCGCTTGTGCCGCGAAGCAGGGGCTCTGAGGTTACCGAGGTTGCACGTGCCTGCTGCGCTTCAGCGAAAGTGGGACAGGACGAGCCCTTGGGCGGAAGCACCCCCCAAGGCCGCCCCAGAGAGCGGAGTCCGCGATGGGGGGCAAACCAGGCCGCCGGTCTCGACAGTGACTCGCGGGTCATGTCCGAGCGCTTGGCGGGTGCAGAAGCAGATCGGCGAATGAGCCCGTGGCATGAGCGCAGACAAACGCACAATGTCATGCCCAGGCGTTATCTCGCTCCCCTCGTACTTAGGGATCACGCCCCAGACGGGATTTCGAGCACCTAAAAAAATATCGAAACAGTGTCGATCCAGTACCGCCACCCAGGGCACGGCACGCGAAAACCGTCCAGCTCTGGTACTTTCTGGGTGCTCGATCTTTTTTCTGGTGATCAAGGCTAGGGTAGGTTGGAAGAGCATAGCCCAGGCGGTCGACAGTCTGCGAGATGGCCTGTCTGGATTGCACCGGGGGCTGGGTGCAAAAGCACTCCTGAACCGCTGCACCGCATCGCCTATGCGTCGACGATGCGGGGCTCGAGGTAAGCTGGCTCGAGACCACACCGCATCGGCGATGTCATCACCCGCTGATGGCCGGCGATTCCGCCTGCGCTCGGGTGATCTATCTTTCTTATGACTATCGCGCCTTGGTCGAGTGATGGCTCTGTTGTTCCAGGCCCGAGGTGTCCCCAGGATTCCTGCGGAGCCCCAGGTGGCCTCCTTGCCATCGCTCGGACGTCCATTCTCCGTGCGTGCTTCGGCTTCTCGCGCGCATTTGTCTGCAACACGACCCAACATGTTCCTCGAGGGTCCTTGAAAGCAAAAAAAATAAAAAAAAGCGCACCGTCCGAGCGAGGCCAAACCTCCGGAGAAGCGGTCCTGCAGGGTCCTGCAGGATCCGGCGCTCCAGCTGGCCCCCGTTTGCAGGGGCCCCCGTCGCCTCGGTTCCGGGGGGCAGGCGCAGCGTCTGGTGACTGCCCAGTCTGCAGAGTCGGCTGCGCGCAAGAGTGACCCTGGGGTAGGAGTGACCTTCGGTGCGCGGCCTTTCGGGGGCCGCGGGAGGGGCCAAACGCAAGGGCGCGCGAGACGCCTCTGCCGCCTCGCGCTCGGCGATCGGGGCACCCCCGTGGGCCCGCACCAAAGGTCACTCCAGCGAAAGGTCACTCTTAGGTCTAGTCGAAGAGCACCCTCAGGGGCCTGAAAACCACCGCGTGTAGGGAAAGGGAGCGAGGACCGCGGAAGCGTCGGCGCCGATCTTGGCCACCGTCCATCTTGGCCACCGTCAATTCGTGGATCGTCCTCGCGAACCAGCGACGGCCGGCATGGACCATGACCAAGATCGGCGTCGACAAGATATCCCGCAACATCTTGGGCATGGATATCTTGCTTCTTTCCTCGACCCTTGACGATCGAACAACGGCCCAAGACCCTTGAGAACTTCGGGAGGCAGGGACCGATTGCCGCCGCCTCTCGCATCGAAGCCGTGGAATAGAATCGAAAGACGACGCGGCCTTCTCAATTAGTGTGCCCCTGGAGGCCCACGGAGCTCGCGACCACATCCCAGGGACGAGGTCGCGAAATCTGCCCGAGCCCGCAAAGGACGTACGAAGCCAGGGAAGTAAAACAGAAAAGACAGCCGTGGGCGTATCGCGAGGGCGACGAAGACGACTACAGATTACAAGGACAGCGGCGACGGCGACGAATGTGACGACGACGCCGACGACGCCAAAGACAACGGGCAGCGACGACGAAGACAGCCAGACGCCTTCCACTGGCCAAGAGGTCCAACAAGGGCCAAAAACGTCGAAACCCCACCACGGCGACGACCACCACCATCAAAACGACAACGACCACGACCACGACCACGACCACCACCACGACGACGACGACGATGATGACGACGAACACGACCACGACGACGACGACGACGACGACGACGACGACGACGACGACGACGACGACGACGACGGCGACGACGACGACGACGGCGACGACGACGACGACGACGACGACGACGAGGGCGTGCGCACGCGGGCCTTCAAGCCCTGCGCGTCTGACAGGTCCCGGTGCGCCTCCCGGCCAGGCGCCGGGCCCGGGCGGCCGCCCGGCCCTCCGAGCACCGGAGGCCTCCCTCCCACACGTGGGGGGGGCCGCATGCGAACCCGACCCCCAGATTTTTTCTTATGTTCCGACTCGATCCTCTCTCCTGATTCGACGCTGGCTGATCCTGCCTCTGCTCGGATCCCATGTGTAGGGGGCCGCATGCGAACCCGACCCCTCCCCCTCAGAGATCGTGGGGGGCAGGGGCAGGGTTCGGATGCGGCCCCCTGCACACATGGGATCCGAGCGGAGGCAGGATCAGCCAGCGTCGAATCAGGAGAGAGGATCGAGTCGGAACATAAGAAGAAATCTGGGGGGAACGGAGACTGGCATGAACATACAAACTCGGAGGTCCGCGCGGAATTCTCGGATCGGCGCTGGGGCCCCCGGGCGGCGCCGGAGGCGCCGCCCCTGGCGCGCTCCGCGCGCCAGGGAGGGGGGTCCAACGCCGATCCGAGAGATCCGCGCGGACCTCCCAGTTGTTGTGTTTATGTTATTGCCTGTCCCCCTATAGAAAGAGGGTCGAATCGGAATATAAGAAGAATCGGGCCGCATCGGCACGGAGTCGGCATCGTGGGGAATGGGCCGCGCCAGGACGCACCAAAGCGCCATGCAAGCGTCCGGCCGAATCGGACAGCAGGAAAACTGGAATCGAGTCGGATCGGGCCGGCCAAGATCAACATCGAAGCGGACCGATCGGATCGAAAGCGACGAACCGGCGACGTCGACGAGGCATCGGCGCCGTCGGCGCGGAATCGGACTCCGCATCACGCCGCATCGCCGACGCATCGTCGATGCGGCGCGATCCTGCGACCCCACCTGCTCGGACCCCATCTATGAGGCCTGAAGCCCCGCCCCAGCCCCGCCTCCCCCCCATCCTACTCCTCCCCCTCCACCTCCAACGTTCAGGCAAACCGTATAACAAGGACGCACCATCAGAATGCAAGGGCCTTGGAAGGCCATGTCGACACTTCGCGCGCGGGGCGAGGCCAGCAAAAGCGGCCACAGGTAGGCCGAAGGGAAAGGAAAGTAGTTGCTCGTCCTTACTACGACGGTTGACTGTGGCCATTTTGGCTCAAGCCGCTCTCGCGCCCCAGGTGGGCGCGCGGACATGGCTGCGGAGGGGGCCGCCCGCCAGCATGGCGGCCGTCGGCGCCAGAGGGCGATCAGCATCTCCCGGAGCTCGGGGCGTTGCCGGCGCACGGCGCGCGGCGCGGAGCCGGCGGACGGCGGCGCGCGAGGCCGCGGTGCGCGCACATGAGCGGCCGCGGGGGGCGCGCCATTCTCTTGGCGCGACCGCGAGGCGGGCGCCCACCCCGCGCTCATGCTGGCGGCGCTGGGGCGCTGGCTCCTTGATGGATCCTCCTCCTCCTCCTCCTCCTCCTCCTCCTCCTCCTCCTCCTCCTCCTCCTCCTCCTCCTCCTCCTCCTCCTCCTCCTCCTCCTCCTCCTCCTCCTCCTCCTGGTGGAGCGCGCTTTCGGCGCAGAGGCCGCATGGCAAGCGGAGCGCGTGCCCTCGGGAGGCTTCGTGGGCGCCACAGGCGCGGCCCTTGCCCGGGCGGCGGCTGGACCCAGGCTGTGCTGGGGCGAGGCGGGCTACGAAAGCGCGGTGCATCACGTCTCGGAGGCGGAGGGGGCGCTGACGGGAAGCGCGGCGCGCACGGCGGCAGTGGCGGCGCAGGCTGACGGCGGGTCTGTGGCCCTGCCCGCGGTCCCTGCGTTCCCTCTCTTGCAGCGGGAGGACCCTGAGGACGCGACCCCCACGGCAAGCAGAACAACGGCGTGGCGCTCGCGGCCCCCACTGTCACGGTGACCACCGACGACTCGCAGACGGGCTGTGGGACGGAGGCTATCTTCGGCGGACCGCAGGTGGATCCATGCGGCAATGACAGTTTGTGGACGTGCTGGCGGAGCACGCGGCGCTGCTGAGCGACGGCGGCACAGAGATGAACTCCATCGAAATGCGGAAGGATTCTTTCGCGCTGGAGGCCGACTATGGCCACCCGCTGGCGGTTTACGTCGGCCCGCAGCTAGACGGCGAGGCGGAGCTCGTCGACACGGTGAGCACTGGGGACTCGCACGCGGGCCACTGGAAGGAGGCCAGCCTCGGCGACTCGCGGTAGGACCGCGTTACGGACGTGAGCTTCGACGACGAGCGGAAGGACCCGCTCGGCAAGCGGGGAGGGCTTCGTAAGGCGGCGGGGGCCTGCGTTAAGAACCCCTAACCCTCCATGCAGCCCGAGCAGCCGAACAGGGAGAACGACGAGGGCGACGACGGCCTGGAGAAGAGGCGGCTGGGAGAGCATTCCTGGCTGGCGGCGGACAAGCGGAGCGCGGCGGAGGCGGCCGCGGCCGCGGGCGCGGGCCAGGCGATGGACGACACGGCGGCCCGCTGGAACGAGGGCAAAAAGACGGTGCTGGTCGACGGGCCAGCCCAGGAGTGTGCCGCTGTGCGGCGCGACATCACAAAGCTCATGCACGAGCTCAGGGCAGAGCATGATGGGCTGACGGTCCAGATCGACTGCTCGGACGACGACCTGCGCAGGCTGCAACAGGGCCTCGACGCCCTCGAGAGCGGGGCGCGGCAGGCCAGCTCGATCCGCCGTTCAACCGAGGATGGCATCCGCAGCGTCGTCTGATCAGGCCGCGGACCCTGGCAGCATGAGGCTAGCTGCCCGGATGGCCTCGCTCCCGTCGGGCAACCTCTCTGAACCACTGCCCGCGCGCGCATGCCGAGCGCCTGCCCGGGAAGGCCTACTGCCTGGGCGCGCGGGCCGCGCGTTTGCACCAGAGGGGCGCCGCAGCCTGAGGCTGGCGGTGAGGATAGCGTGGCCTCGGCTGCCATGCAATGCTTGCCGACGTGGAGGCACGCGGCGGCGCCCACGGCGAGCACTTTTGCTGCCACGCGGTTGCGAAGTTGTGGGCGGTCTGACTGCGCCGCGGAGGCCACCCCTCGTCTGCTCCTTGAGAATAATATGCCTCCTCCTCCTCCTCCTCCTCCTCCTCCTCCTCCTCCTCCTCCTCCTCCTCCTCCTCCTCCTCCTCCTCCGCCTCCGCCTCCGCCTACTCCTCCGCCTACTCCTCCTCCTCCTC